AGAGTGTGCTTTCCATTCCAACACTCTATCTTTGGGATTTCCATGTGTAGGCAGGACGTATGGAACTCTGTTTGGGTTGGGTACTCTTCAGCATAGTGATGGGTTTCTGTATGTGTCAGACACCCAGCTGACCAAAAAACTAACCTGAAGTGAGTGGAGTAATAGATTGAATCACTGATAATGTTAGGCGCTCCAAATGTCTTAATTTAGTTTTGTAAGAAGATTTTAGTTCTATCCCAAAAAGCAAGAAAAATAATGGTTCTGTACTGGACAATATTCTGGATATAGAAGTATAAAGTAGAAGCTATTTAATATAATGAAAACATCTCCTTTTTGTGTGCTAGAGGATGATGAATTCCCAGAATGTGGTTAAATGGCTTATGGAGGTGTTTCAAATATCTAGGAGTTGATAGCAATTTAGTGATTCTAAAATTCTACATTATATTCCTGGTTCACATTTAATATTTTGTTAATTCATTTGCACAAACAAACCTGGTACTTATTTCTACTGTTGTCATTCCTAATCCCTGTCCCTTTTTAAAAAAAACTGTTTCTTTTTATTATAGTTAGTTGGGTTTTCTTGGTTATTGATTGCATGGTCTCATAAAGCATATCCCCCACCTTGCCTAAGCGGAAGGAGTGGGCGGGTTGGTTAAGTTTTTAGGAGATCACACAAGTAAGGAGGGGCAACATCGTGAAGGGCTTTAAAAGTAAGGATGAGGATCTTGAATTTGATCCTCTGGAAGATGGGGAGCCAGTGAAATCGGGCGAAGATAGGGGTGATCGGGTCACAGAGCCTGGTGCGGTAGAGGACAGAGCTGCAGAGTTCTGAATAGTCTGCACCCTGTGAAAGGAGTTGGGATGTCCAGTGAACATATAGTTAATGTAATCAAGCCTGGATGTGGTAAAAGCTTGGATAAGTGTCTCGGCGGCCTGAGGGGAGAGGTAAAGGTGTAGGCGGGCAATGTTGCAGAGGTGGGGGAAAGGTGATTGGGTTGAGACATGGATGTGAGGTTTAAAGGACAGTTGCGAGTTGAACAAGACTCCATACTGGCTTGGTGAGGTGGAGAGTCCATCCATGTATAGTGATACTGTCAGCCCCTGAAGTCCAAGCAGTAGAGCATCTGTTTGTCGACATTCAACTGGAGAAAGTTAACTCTCATCCAGACTTGATGTCCAATCAGCAATCAGTCAGGATGGAAATGGTCCTGGAATCGAGGATAGAGGCAGAGACAGAGAGATAGAGTTGGGTGTCACAGAGCGATATGGCATTCAAACAGGCCATTCAGCCCCACTAGTCTGTGCTGGTGTTTATACTCCACATGAGCCCCCAACCCTCCTCACCTGTACCCCTCTATTCCCTTCACCTATACCCCTCTATTTCCTTTTCTCCCATGTATGTATCAGTTTCCTTTTGATACATTGATGCTTTTCGTTTAAGCCACAGCTCTGGCAGTGAGTTCCACCTTCTCAATATCCTCTGCGTGAAGAAGTTCCTACTAAATTCCATATTTGATCTATTACTATCTTTCTTATATTTATGCCCTCTTGTTTTAGACTCACTGACCAGTTAGTGGCTTGCTATCTTGGGTCATCTGTCACTTGTTTCTTGGAGTGTTTCTTTATATCGGGCTTTCCTGTCACTCTTCTTTATCAGTTGACAGATAGCTAAACATTTGGTAACAGAGTTTCTAGTCTTTTGTTTTTGTATAACAAAGTTCTTTGAAAGACTCCAAACTTTATTTCCTCTCATTGCAAAACTGCTATAGAGGAGCGTTGTCTGTCTCGAGGTTTGTCCTTCTATCAAATCTCCCTGAATCTCTGTAGAGTCTGGTGCAAATCTGCCTCATTCTAAGTCAATCTGCCAAAGTCTTCAAGAGCTTCATCCAACTAAAATCTCTCTATCAGTCTCAGGAAGAAACCTTCTAAGCTGGAAAACTCTAGTTAGTGTTGCTCAAATTAAACCTAGAAACAGATCTCTTTGGTGAGCGCCAAAAATATTTTTTTACCAGTTTTAACATGAAAAGAAAAGGTAATCCTTTAAAACGTAATCCACCTCTTCCTTTACCTCAAGAATGATTGAGACCTTTTTTGTGGGGGAAGGAGGGAGCAACAAAGCCTGTTAGTAATTGTATTCTATTCTAAATTCCTGACCACTCAATGCCCCCATTTCTCCTTTCCAAGCAACCTATGACCAAATTGTAGGAGGGTGGGGGGGAATTCCTCTAAGAATTTTTGGGATAGGTGGCACCCCACCCCCCCCTACGAAAACATAATTTTTTGAACCCTGATGTTGACAATCTGGTCAGATAGATGCCCAAGATGAATTGTTTATTAATGATTTAAGTTAAGTTAATGATCTCGCTCCCTCTAGAACAAAGTGGGATTTTCCACTAAGGCTTGGCTTTCTTTCAAAGAAAGGTCAAATGTTATAATGTGTCCCCAGTTACTTAGAGATGCTTTCGTTAATACGTCGACATCATGATATTGGAAAAATTACAAAACATTGAACTGTTTGCAAAGTAATGTTATCAGACGTAGCTGTGAAAATATTCTTGCGGGGTGCCCTTGCGGGAAAATATTCTTAAAGTTATGAAGAATGCACCTTGAAACTGTGCGAAAAATTCTATTGTAAATGCCACCTTACATTGCTCTCACTTAACCTCTTTGACTGCTGTTTTATACAGTGAGCAGACGTCCTCATTACAGGATCCCTTTTATTTTACACAGAAGCTCTTTTCATTTTTCCATCCTGACACTCTTTCATGACTCCAGACCCATTTCCCTTCGCCGCCTTCATTCCCTTTTTCAAGCAATCATGTTTCTGCCTGTGAAGTGCATGTGACTGATGGCCTGGCTTTCCTGCAATGTATTTGACCTTTTCCGAGTTATTTCGAACAATCTGAAAGTAACATTGTTTTCTTGCTTTTTTTTCACTCTGTGCAATGTGTTACTGATCTTACCCGCTGACTAACAGCAGTTCTGCCCAGGGACCAATGAATGATACGGATGAACCTGAGGCAGACTCTGATAACAGACCGACTTCAAGTCACTTCTACCCTGTCGCCTTGCTGCTTGTCAGCTCACACTTGCTGGTCGTGTGGCTGATTTTAAGTCTTGCTTTGCTCTTAGCCAAATATCAATGAGATGCACTTGTTTCCGTCCTTTTGTAACTAACATCCTACAAATGTATTCATGTAGATATATATAACTTGATTTGTAACAAAAAATAACTTGTTTGTAGTCTGATGTTATTGTACTCTTGTTTTTTTAAAAGCAAAACTACAGTTTCGAGCTGCTTTTTACATTAATAATTTCATTGCTTATTAATTTTGTAGCACTTTGTTGCTTCTGAGCACAGTTGTGAATCATGTTATTATTATGACTTATTTTGGAACGTTTTACGTGAAACTCCAATTCGATTATTTCTAATGATCGGGAAGCTAATTATATATTAAAAAACAATACTTGTGTTTTTTTCATAAAAATGGTTTAAAAAATTGTTTTTTTAAGAAAAAAAGTGAAAAGTATAAAATCATGCTATATTTTTAGTCAAAAATCTACCCAGGGCAGACCCGATTGAAAAAATTGTTCCTTGAAAAGAAAAAAAGTACTTAGTGTTAAAAGTGAACGTGAGATGGAAGTTTGCATGGTTCATTATTGTGTGCGTGTGTTTGTGTGTGTATGGGGGGGCAAGTTAATGGATTTATCTGGCTCAATTTAAAGCATTATAAACAAACTTGCCTTGAAGATCATGCAGTTAGCAATCCACTCTCTGCTGTACTGTCCCAGGATTTGGGTTTCACAATTTGCTGTTTATCTGAAGCTGTCAAATCTGACTGTGTCTGCAACCACAATAAAATAATAATCCTTGCATTTGATATTGCGACTTTCACGTCAGAAGGACGTCTCAAAGCACTTTGCAGGATTTACTGAATGTTTATGTGACTCTGTACTTTTTAGGCAAATACAGCAGCCAATTTGCATGCACCAATGTCCACTCCAATGTTCACCAACAGCCATGAAGTGAATGACCAATATTACTCCAAATTTACAAGTGACAATTAATGAAATTGTGCGTTTTGACAATATTGTAAATCAAACAACTTGTGCTGTTGTCAAACCGGAAGTCTGGTTTAACCAGCTTTGCTAATTCAGGTCCACTGTAAATCATTCTAATTTCTGCTGACCCCAGCTCCTCTAATGTACACTTTGTTCTTGGCAGTCTTCCCTGATCTGGACAGATGTGGATCAGTGGAAGCAATGGACAATTTATTAGGAGAAAGTTATTTTACGAAAATAGCAGCTTTAAAAATCTGTTCAGTGGAGCATTGTCCTCCCGAAATCCACCTTTTCTTTCTCCTCTTGATTTTATCTGACTTGAATGACTTTCTTGGGAGTGAATATAAATTCTCAGAGGCTCCAGTGCTATCAGGAATTGAGAACAAAACTAAGCTAAATTCTTCACACACGCACACACACACATGCACACACATCAAAGATGAACACATCACAGTCAAATGATGAGAGAAAAGAATAGAACTAAAATTTCCTCACAGCAGCATAACACTACAATCTAAAGTTTTCCAAAGGATGGAATAGTTTTAACACATGTTTGTGGCAGGGGGCAAATTTGTACTATTAGATAAAAATGTGGTCAAAAGCAATCAATTGCTAACACTGTTATAACATTCCCTTTGTCTTAGTGCAATTCTCCTTTTCACGTCTGAGTCAGCTAAAGGATGCACGTTTTATTTTTTAAAGAGAGAATCACATTTTTAGCTTCAACGAACAATCAAATTAATTCGGCCTGGCCTAAGGATTGACTTGTGTAAGATGTATCATCACTTGTGTTAAAGAAATGTAGAGGATTGCCTAGTTATTTTTACCGAAATAAAAAGAAATGTTATGGCAAATGTTTAATAAATGAAACTTTTTTCTTTTCCTTTTGTGGTGGTATTATGAGGTGTACTTTTTTTCTCTCTCTTCCTTTTTACCAGAGAAGGATGTCGAATAGAAAATGCACAGAAGAATGTCAAATGCAGGAAGTATGCATTCAACACCATCCAGCTGATGGCATTCCCAAAATACTACAGGCCTCCCGATGGGACATATGGAAAAGTGGACACTTAAGCTTAATGTTGGAAATTGAGAGAGTACCAATTATTAATAAGGTTTTAAAATTAGTTTCAAATAGAACGAGTGAGTAACAACTATTTTCCCGACTGAGACCATTCGTCTGGTCAGGGAGCAATGGACCCCAATAGAGAAGGTTTTTTTTTGACAACTTGCCATTAGAATCTGCCTTGTTTATGCTCCAATGTGTATACATCACTTGTTTGAGTATGTGTGTGTGCTTGCATGTGTTAGTTTGTGTGGGGAACGGCGATTGGTGGGGGTGAGATAAACTAGAACATATCGTTGATCACTGCTACCACTGGAAAAGTATTAGCAGTAAAATGTTTATTTCTGCTTAGAAAACGCATAACTTTTACACCAAGATGCATGCCATTTGCAATTGTGCCAGTTTATATTTACGTACACTTCACTTAATATAAGCAATGCGAGGTTTGAAGAGAACACGGCATCGCTTAAACATTTAATACCATGGTTGGTGTTTAGTCACTAATTGAGAATAATCTTGTAAACAAACTGAAGTGAGTCAGTTTATAAGAAACTGACTTGAACTTTGAGGCTGTGTAAAAGTAGAAAAAGTGGCTGATATTGATATGCATATTGGGAGATTGACCATATCCATATCGCTCTTTGAAATCCACATCCTGTCAGCTGAGTGACAATGTGGTGGCTTAACAGCAGTAGCTGCGGAAAGAGTCTGTTGGAGAGATAAATGGTAACCCTACAATGCAGTACTTGTCCAGTTTGGACAACCCTATCATTAGGGCTTTGGCTCCAAATGTAAATTTGTTGTTGGGGCCATACTGGCTGACATCAGCAGTGAGCTGGATTACTGCTGACTTGCCTGGCTTTGTCTGACGTAGCTCCTTGGTATCAGTTCAGGGCTGCTTGTCCCCGAGTAATTGTTTTCAATTGACCTCAAAGTCATTGAAGGGTTCAGTGGGACTTGCAAGATTCACATCAATACTCTCGTTGTTCCAAGACCACGGCCCAATTAATCAACGGAGAGACCTTGGATTCTATTAATATCGCCTCAAAAATAAGACCCCACTCAATAAATAAAAGGGCCATTTGAACTCCAAAGGCTTTGTTTTTGTGACAAGTAGAGAATAATGTTTTAAATACCAAAAACAGCTCTTCAGCTTTTAAAAAACCCATGTCTTTCTATTGTAATATGGCAGCTGTGTGTGTAAAAAAGAAGTGCTGTAAATTTATAATGCTGAGTATTATAAAGTAGAGGTTGATAATTGTACAGAGTAGGACATTTCTTAATTTGTGATATTCTTATAATAAACTGTTTTGTAATTAAATAAAAACTTTGGCACCTAAAAGTTACTGCAGCCCTCGATCAGTCAAAGTTGATCTATGCTTCGGAGTTGCTTTGAAGGAAAATATCCAAACTTATGAGGGGTCTCAATAGAGAGAGGAGAAAGTGTTTCCTCTGGCAACTGGGTTGGTAACCAGAGGACACAGATTAAAAATAATTGGCAAGAAAACCAGAGGGGAGGCAAGGAGAATTTGTTTTACTATCTTGAAAGCACTCCCAGAAAATGGTGGTGTAAGTCAATTTAATAGTAGCTTTCAAAAGGGAATTGGATAGGTACTTAAAAAAGAAAAAATTACAGAAAAAGATCATTTTTACAGAGGATTTAGGAGAGCAAAATCTGACCATCTCACCCAGAATTGAAAAAAAAGAAATATAATAAACAATCCTTTTCTCATTACCCCTCGAATAAATTTATTCACCAAATATCTATTCATTCCCTTCTGAATGTGCTGGTCATTTACTGTGACTACTTCCCTGGATAGTCAATGCCACATATTCACTAGTCTCTGAATAAAAATAATAAAAATAATGCAATCTGAGTTGGCTGTTCACCTTCCCTCATCTGAGCTCCAGTCTGTGTCCACAGTTTTTGTTTTCTTTATCAGTGGTTCAGTGTTGTTTTACCCTTTTTTTGGGGGGTGGGCGCGGGGGGTCTTCAATAAGCTTGGCCTGAGTCTTCTTAGATGCTGGATTCATTCAAATTTTCAAGACTCAGGTGGATAGATATTTGTTAGGTAAGAGTATCAAGTGATACGGGGCAAGGGTAGGTAATTGGAGTTGAGGTACAGATCAGCCCTGACCCAGTAGAATGGCAGAACAGGGTCGAGGGGCTGAATGGCCTACACCAGTTCCTATGTTCTGTTTCTTAGCATGAACATTCCCAGCTTCCGTAACCTTTCCTCATAACTCGTATCTGTAGAACCATAAAAATGTACAACCATTCGGCTTCTCATGCCACCCACGGTACAATCCATTAAGCCCCATTTACCTGTTTTTTCCACTCACCCCTACTGCGCAACTCCAGCTATCCATCCAGTTGGCCTTTTCTATAGTTTCTCCAATCTTAAGATGTCCTTTTGTAATGTCGTGATGAGAATTGTACAGCACTCCAGGTGAGACCATATTAGTGCCTTTTGCAAGTTAAGTACAATATCCTGTGATTTGTCCTCTATCACTATAGACCATCACCTGCTCACCAGAAGAGTGTATTTATTACAAACAGTTAGGTACCAGTGATTTAAGCAAGTGTTTTATACATAAATGTATAAATGTATAAGTGTATAAATATTAAATGTTTGAAATGCTTTTCTTGTAGAATGAAATGTTGCTTCTGCCCTCATATCCACATGACGATCAGAATCACACATTTATTGTCTATCCCATATTTACTGTCTTCAAATAGACCTGCGTAAAGCCATAATCATGTGCATCGTGTTGGCAGCGAGGTGGTGAAGTGACTAAGAATTAAGTTCCTGTGAGTGTAGGAAATGTTCATATGTAAATGTTACTAATACTGACCGACAGCAGCGGCCGTGGAGTGAAGTCAAGGCTATTACCACACAGCAACCTGCTACAAAACTAACCATGTTTTGGACTTCTTTTTCCCCACTACTGTCACTACAGTAAAACTCACATAATTCGTATCAGTCGTGGCCATAATATTTATTGTGACTTATGCGAAGTTTGAGTTGCAGGCAAACTGTATAAATCAGATAAAATCTGATTCAATCAATAATCTACATTTTGCATGCGTAATTCAATGCAGCCGGTAAATGCGCATACGGTGATGGGTCAAGACTATGTTTCCTATGATTCATTGTAGTCGGCTGGTAAGTGCAGGAGTAACAGAGGGTAGGGGAGCGGTTTTATGAGTTAGGAGGTGATTAAAGCAAGTAGTGTAAAGAAATCTAAGGGGTTTTGATAGGAAACTGAATGGGACTCGGGTGAATGTATGACTTAGGCGATTGTACGATTTATAAAGATAAGACTTATGAGAGTTTTACTGTTCTACCAAATTCATTTTATTTAAAAACAAAAACAGAAGTCGCTGGGAACACTCAGCAGGTCAGGCAGATTCTTTTCCTGACCTGCTGAGTGTTCCCAGCGATTTCTGTTTTTGTTTTCAGATTTCCAGCATCTGCAGTATTTTGTGTTTCATTTTATTTAAATGCTTGCTCGACTCTCTTGAAATTTTACTACTTGCATCCTTACCCACATAAAAGGCCATCACCTCCATGTTTGTATTGGCTTCCTTATTTCCACGGTGGATTGACTTCAAGATCCTAACCGTCACCTACAATTTCCTTCACACCTCCCTACCTCTGTGAGCCTCTCCAGCCTCCCTTGCCTTCTCTCCTAGCCCATCACTCAGAAATCTCTGGCCTGCTGAGTGTTCCCTGCCCCTTTCACCCCACCATTGGTAAGCTATTATCACAGTGCCCCACTCCCTGGAAGATCAAGAAAATAAATATTTAAGAGACAACTTAGCAGTCTTCAGAGCTTACTGTTTACAGTAACTGTCATTGCTTCAAAATTTAAAAAAATAGCAGACACTAGATTGGAAAAGAAACAAATACCTTTGCTAGGTGAGGGTACTGCCACCCCGTGGAAGGTAATTCATGTTGACCCTTGTTTGAAATGCCAGAAATGTTACCCCAATGTGTTGTAAAGCACCAGTTCAGGGGGTAACTTGCTGTTGGCTTTCACATTAGCTTTCTTCTCACGCTTAACCTGAGATCTAGAATGTAGGATAGCTAAACCAGCTTTCAAGAGGCATTTGCAAACATTTTGCTAGCCTTTCCACTCAGTAAGAGTATCCAAACCAAACTGAAAGTTCCATATATCCCACCTATACATGGAAATCCCAGAGATAGATTGTTGGAATGGAATGTGCACTCTCTTCCTGAAGGGATGCATCCTGCTTACCTAATTCTGGAAAGTATTAGGCGCAGTTTGGAAAGAGCCAAGGCTTGGGGATGCAACAGCGTGCATTGGGATACTGCTGGAGTATGAAATCACATAGCTTGTCGTTGAAAGCACTGTGGCAAACTTTCCTGCTACTTGTTCAGCTAGGATACAAGAGTGATCAAATCCTTCTTCCGGGAGAGATGGTGACTGCTTAGTGTATGCCGAACATGTATTAACCAATGATCTTTCTCCATCAGTGGTAGTGCCGTCTTGCTCTCCTTAACAATGTTTTGTGTGTATTGGCTGCCGCGTTTGCCCACAAATATACAGTCAATTACCTTTACAGTATATTCTGTGAAGCACTTTGGGACGTCTAGAAGATGTGAAAAGCGCTATATCAAATGCAAGGATTATTTATTCACCACTTTCATGCTGTAATCCCATGTTAACCCCGACCATGTCTTGCTTTTTCTCAGACACTGCTCATGACCATTTCATGTTGGTTCTTTATCTCTGTTGAAGTGTTAAACCCATGTTCCATCTGCCTGATCTGGTGGACATTAAAGATCCCATGGCACTATTCGAAAAGAAAGTTACTCCTAGTGTCCTGGTCAAAATTGGTCAAGCTTTGGAGCTCACTTCCCCCAATCTCTCCGCCTTGCCCTACTCCTTTCTCTCTTTTAGATCATGCTGAAGACCTTCCTCTTCGACCATGCTTACAGTCACATCCTCCCTCCCTCAGCCGGCGGCGTCAGGCTCTGCCACTGTTAAGCACTCCGAGATGCTGCCCCACGTGAAGGGTGCTATATAAATGCACATTGTTGTTGTCATTTACTTCATTGCTGTTGATGGGATGTTCCTGTGTGCAAATTGGCCGCTGGGGTTGCCTATAAATACACAGTCACTACTGTTTTCAGCGTGAATTGCAGCCTTGTACATTGCAAAATACAAAAGACGCACACATGGGAAACTTGTAAACCTCATGAGCATGGGACAAAGCGCAAAAAAGCAACAGGAAAAAGAGAGCAGAGGTCAGACATGCCGGTGGGGACCAGGGAATTGCGCTCACACACCCCGGAGCAACACTCATGGACGAGTAGGCCAGGACCATTAGGCATTGTGGAGCTGGGATGGATGGTCAAGGCTGCGAAAAAGACAGAGGTACGGTTGGAAGAGATGGGTTGCATCGGGGCAGGAAAAGCCGGAAGGGAGATGGTCCATGCCAATAGCAAGTCCTGGGAGCTGTAGGGACACTTTGCTAGACAATAATCACTTTAGTAATGGTTTCAATCAAATTGTTTCTTCACTGAGGATAAATGCAATCAAACATTCAGTAAAATCTTAAATATAGTACAGTCAAGTATAGTAACGGCAATTCTATTTTAAAACAGTATAATATAGTAGTACATAATTCAGAGATTGTGATAGTGATCATTTACTGTCTCTGGGAAACCATGGCGTATTAGCAAACTCTTTCAGGTGTCTCTCTCTGAACCTAACTAAACTTCTCTCTTTACCCCCAAAAGTCTGTACATGTGATGACTGCATCTTCGTTCCAGCCATCGACCACTCTTATTGGAGACCCAAACAGACATTTCTGCGTAGGATGAAATTGGTCACTTATGGCTGTTTGTGGGATATTGCTGTGGGCAGTTGGCTGCCATGTTCGTCCATAATCCAAAAAAATACAGTCAATCCACTTTCAGTATATCCTGTATCCTCTTTGAAACATCTTAAAGGCTCTATAATCAAATGCAAGGATTATTATTTATATTCTAGTTTTGAGAACCGTGACCTTATCTCCTGCAGGAAGGTTTCCAGCACAAGGAGGATAACGATTATAATTTACTTTAGGTAAGAAAAAGACTTAGTGAAGTGACAGGTAATTGTTTAAAGAATAAAGAATTGCAAAAGGTAGTTGCTAAAGAGTAAACAAAATGCAAAGGAAGTATGTTTAATGTTTAAAGAGGTACAAAAGAAGCATGTTAAGGAATAAACAAAAGCATGCCTAAAAAAAAGGGAGCAATTAAGGAAAATGAATTGTAAGAGACATGTTAAAGAATAAATAAAAGTTGTAAAAGAACGAATTGTGGTCTCTCAATCCCTCTGTTCCTGGGTCTTGACTGAAGTTTTATAAATTAAAATTGCAACACTACATTTGACAGAAAATTCCTGTGAAGTGTGACTTCGAGACATCTCAGCACAGTGATAAGACAGGATAACAAATGGAAGGATTACCGTTTACATATTATTTTAATCTGGGATCTTTGAGAAATAATCTTACTTTGAAAACTTTGAACAGTTTTCACCCCAGTCACCCCAATCCTTGCCAGGGTCCACTGGCTCACCATCCCCTTGGATTGACTTCAGGGCTCTACCCTCAAATAGAATACCCTCACACCCTAACACCGCCCGGCCGTCATTATGCCTTTGTCTCTGGATCTCCCTGTCTCAATCCCTCCTCCCTCTTTAGCTCATTTTAAATCCTATCGGAAAACCTACCTCTTCGACAGCACCTCTGGTCACGTCATCTCCCTTGTTCGGCATTCAATTCCGCCACTGTACAGCCCTCTGAGATTTTATTGTATACCAGCAGGTTTACAAACTGTCAGAGACCATGTGCACACACTACTCCCAGGAATAATTCATTTTGACAAATGAATCAATATTAATGCCTTTAAGAATGGTTTCAAAGTGGAACGAGGAGGCCAGTTTGTACAGCAACCTGTGGTGAATGTCACCTACCTTCCCACAAAGCACAATGAGCTTCACCTCAGCATAATGATGTGGCAGCAATTGTAATTTTTTATTGAAGTTAGTCTTAAAAGGAATTGTTTTTGCCATTCAGAAGCGATTGGCAAACTCTTTCAGCCTTGTTTGTGCATGTACAACAGGAATAATGTCATCCTGACCCTGTAGATGTATCAGTCAAGTTGGGTGCTGAGCTATCAGCAGCCCACGCCATCCAGAACCTTGCCCAAATGCAGCCTATTGAGTGACTGTCAACAGGCAATTTGTCAGTCAATGCTGCCAAGTGCATTTTTCAGCAAACCAAGAACTGAGGTGGATTTGTGGTAAACTAGGGAAGTGGCTGCAGGGATGGAGGGCTCCAGCCTACATTGACACGTTACTAAGCATCTTCACGGTGGGAATGTCTATTTAATAATAATAATAATCCTTGCATTTGATATAGCGCTTTTCACGTCTTCTCGACGTCTCAAAGCGCTTCACAGAATATGCTGTAAAGTGAATTGACCATATATTTGTGGGTGAACGCGGCAGCCAATTGCGCACAGCAGTGTCCCACAAACAGTCGTGGATTGAAAATGACCAATTCATTATTGTTTTGTTTTGGAGGGATTATTATTAGGCGTGTGGAATAAGGAAACTTACCCAAGGTTTCGCCCTGCCTGGAATTGAACCCAGGTGTCTCGCTTG